AAAGATGCTCAGGCACAACAGCAATGATGAGGACGTGAAATGGGGGAAGGGACTTTTTTCAGCAACGAAGATCAACCTGGCCTCCTCCGCCCCAAGCTCCGTGTTCCACACCGGTCCATAATTCGGAGCATCTTTATTCACCTTGTCTCGTTCCAGAACAATAGCAGAGCACCATGGCTCGGCTTATTGCGGTTTAACTTGTTACGTACTGTGGCGGGGTGGGAATGTGGAGCCCCAACCCACAACCCACAGATGCGCGTCGCCGGTGCACAGAACATGGCAATATCAGTGCCTTGGGCACTAAAGCTCCTGCAGCTTCAGCGTCGACTCCTCCTCTGCCGATGTCAGACATGGATCAGTTTCCCCCAGACAACCGCTTGGAGCTCCATTTCAACGCCCCAGGTTGGCACCACCAAGCCCACCAGTTGACGTCGATTGGACAATTGGGCAGCATTGATCAAGGCGTCCTGGAAAGGTCCCGACTTCGGACCGTACAGAACCGCCACTCCACTTTCAACCCCAGACACACGGGGATAAACTATTAGCAATGCTAGGTACATACATAACTACAAGGTCGACAGTTTTGTTGGCGCATAGCGGGTAAAAAAAAAAAAAAAAAAAGAGCCAACCAGACATGTGGCAAGTGTTAGTTACTTCTTTTCTGGAGTGCTCTTCCACGAAAGTAGAGAGAACAATGCCCTTTTGAACCCCACCAAATGACCTTTTTGGACTTGTATACAAACTTGAAGGACAGTACCGGACTAGTTGGAATATTTACAGAATGCGAGACGGATGACCTATCATGTCCGTGTGACCACCTGACACTGGGGCTGCATAAAACATGGATGTAATTTCTTTGTTGCCGGCTCCGATTACGCGATGGGGGTAATGGTTGATCGAAATGCTGTAGACGTGGACAGGGAAGCAGCGCCCTGGAGGATAAATCTACGTAACTGTCAGTCAGTCAGTCGTCAACGTCCCAGCGCCTCTTTTCGCCGGCAGAACTGGCCTTGAGAGCACCAACAGAAATCATACCACAGAGTCGCCCGAACCCTCAACTCCTGGTCACTGCTTGCGACAGTCAATCAGAAGCCATCAAACTCTTACAAAGCAAACCAATATATATTATTACTTAAAAGCTCATCATCAGCACATGTCCAGTCAGATGCCGTCCGCCTCATCAACTTTCTACATGCTGCGTGTTCAACATTACTATCACTTTCATCGTATTCGTTCGTGGTATCTTGCACGCAAATATACTAACCAAAAATATGTAGCCACGAGCTCACTGGCCTTCAGTCATGTAGATCCTGCGGCCGCCGTCGCCTGTAGAGCAAATGTGCCCGTTTGTTGCGGATGAGAAACCGTGTACATGTATGTCACAACCTTAAGCCACCGCTTGCGTTGACTGGCCTGTCATGGGTCTTGAGCCTGGTGTCGCGGGCTTCTCGTAGTGTAGCAATGGAACACTTAGTCCATACGCCTGTGTTTGACCCTCGGCACTGTGTTGGTCAATCTCGACATTGATGCGAATATCCAGACTCCCATCGCTACCGCGGCCGTGAGCGTCAGATGCCGACTTGTGCTTGGTTCCCGCATGAATCTCGCCTTGATGGATCTCGGAGTGACCATCCTTGCCGATGAATGACTGTGCCTCAGGAGCTTCGCCATCGGCTGATACCTCGCCATTGGTGCCTCTTGTGACATTGTTGGGGGAGTTCTCGGTTAGCATAGCGTAGTTTCTGCTCGGCATGGTGCAGTGGTTGTGGTCGGCCGTCTTGTTTGATTCGCCAGGGTCCTTATCAAACAAGTCGAGCAGGGTTTCGTCAGTTTGACCATTAAGGTGGTGAATCTTGTTCCGCCGCGCGAGGAGATTGGCAACTGCCTGTGGCGGGGGTTTGTTTACGATTGCTGATGAAACAATGTTGGCCATGTATCGATTGTCCTTTTCGGCTGCTAACTTGAGCTTGGGGTTGGAATAGAAGCGACCAAGAGCTGCAAGATGTACATCTCCACCAAGGATTGTAACCCGGACAGAAAATTCGGCGGCAACCTGCTGAAGGCCCTCAACGAGGCCTCTGCGCTCGACCTTGTGTGTCTTTGCAGTGTAGTGGTCATCCAAGTCATCAAGAAGATCGACACTACCGTCAAATTGGTTGAACAGACCGCCGCCAACACCAAATCGACGATGCAGGAACTTGATGGGTCCAATAATAGGGCTGCGAAGAATGTTTTCCAGCCAGGTGAGGCGCTGTGTTTTCACGTTAGTCACCATACGCCAGCCTCATTTTCTTTTTGCAATTTGTATGCCTAATCATATAGAACGCACCGGATATGCAATGGGAATACCAAGCAGAAGAATCAAATGTTTGATGGGACGGCCCGAGCTAACAGCTTCGCTGAGTTCGCGACGCAGTCTTTCAAAAATGAGCTCATACGTCTCTGGGTAGTTGACTTGGCGACGAGTCCGCTGTGCAAGGATTAGTCGTGAAACTGACACGCATAGGGCCTCTTCTTCTTTCAACTCACCTCTGTTCGAGCATCGATTCCCAACATGGCCATGCGAGCTCCAAGCCGCGTATACAGGCTGAGCGAATGCTCGGCAACATACGGACCCGGCTTGGTGCCCCGAATGTACTGGGCCCCTAGCTTTGGATCCGCAACAAAAGTGTTGACCAGCTGGTTCGGATCCGGGCCAGGGCTGTCGCCATTGGCATCGAGGTGGTCTGACGTGTAAGTCGATAGCGGTGGCGGTAGGTGGTGCTGGAACAGTAAATAATATTTGTGCGCCGTGCCACCAATTCCTCGAAACACATCGCAGCGCATAAAGCTGTCGACGTATGAGCCAAAGCCGTCGATGATCTACGAAGCATTGTTAGCAGTCACATTTTGACGAGACGGAAGCTTCGACAAGACGTCTTACATCGTGATCATCCCAAATATTTACTTGCGGAATCTGGCCGTTGGCCAGGGCAAACGGCGCAGAGTTGTACCAGCGAATGTAGTTCTTCAGGTAGTAGTCGTCACACTCGGCACGCAATTTCTCTGGGAATGGAAATTCTGAGCGCTTCTTGGGGTTGCGAATGTCGGTCCACGGGCGAAGAGGACCGTTGACCCTGATTCCGTCATTATATATCTGATCGCCGCCGCCCAACATGACATGAAATGGCGCGCGTTCGTGCTTTCGCATCACGTCCCTCCATAAGGGGGCGCCGCTGAATGCTTCCTCGTCCGTGCCGACACTGAATCCGTTGCACGAGTGAAACATGACGCGCATGGACTCGTCTGCTCCCGGTACGAAGAAGTTATTGACTCGGGGTTTGTGGTCTCTGGAGTACCGCACATCCGGAAGTTCGTACTCGTACCTGACTTCTCGCGCCTCGATCGGTACGTCAATTTCGAACGCCCAAAACGTGTTTCTCGGGTCCGAATAGAGGCGCTGAGCTTGGAACTGGGTTTCCCCGGCGGCGGAGGTAGTGTCGGGGTGCCTTGCTGCCGCTTCGTCTGCCCGACGCAACACCAGAGACGGCTGATAAAGGATATCCTTTCCACCACCCGCTGCGACAATCAACACGCTACCGTACCAACGATCCTGCTCCATTCGGCGGTAGTTGAGCAATGGCCCGCAGACAATCTCCTTGCCATCTGGTGGAGGAGTGCTGCTAGCACCACCGCCGCCGCCTTCTTCTCGGTCGCTGGATTGCACTGCCGCAACAGTAATGGGCTGAAAGTTTCCGCCGCCATTGGTGTCGCCCGTGGGCTCGACTCTCGAGGCATTCAAAAAAGTAGCCAGGTCGCCAGTCGTCGTCTCAGTAGAGACGGGGTCGCGAGCCTGGCCGTGAGAATTTCCGGCGTGGCGACGGTATGCTGAAGATTCTTGATGGCGCCATCGACTGGCAGAGGCGTGAGGGTTGTGCTCCGTGTCGTCGTCGTATTGAGCGTCAGCGCTGCGTTGCGACGCCATGGTTGCGCGTCCTCACTGGATATCGTGACAGACTGAGAAAGATGGCCTTTTTGTCAATGGCAAAACGTCTGCCCCCAAAGCTTGGAGATTGTTTGGGTCGATCAATGGACAGGGCTAGCAAGCCAAAAACCTCGTCAATGTTTGGCAATCTTTCAGCCTAAACAAGAACTTGGCAACAGGATTGAGGCTCGCTTACACTTGACGTCAGCGCCTAAAAAAAAGGGAAGGGAGGCGGAGGGGACAAGAGCGTTACAGGTAGCCTCAAATCAATTAAGAATACAAAGAAAAGCCATTCGACTAACTTGACAACAAACGTGGACTAGGGATAGGGAAACATTGGATGTGCAGATCTTGACATGGAGACCAAGAAAATGAACGATGGACGAGAGAGCTCTCACGCAGCTCAACCATGTCTGATTGGTCTGATAGTTTCTCCTCTGCTTAGCTAGTGGTGGCTGCCGGGTTCTCAGCTGTTGCTATGGTGCGTGCCGAGGCCAAGCTAGGACGAACCTGGCAAGGCCCGGGAAGTACGCCAATGGCAAGTCGTCAAATTAGAAATCCTAGCACGTCGGGACGAAGCCAGGAAGCAGCTAACAGAACTACCAACGGTGGGGTCGGACTATTAATACAATTAGCCTTGTCTACGGAGTACAAGAGTACCTAGCGCACTTTGTAAAGGTGAGTCTTAAGATGAAAGGTTATGACAATCGCCGCAAAGATGGACACAATGGCTGTGCACAACTCTCAGGGGCAACCGTCCAAACGTAACGCAGTACTTGCAATAACCATATGAAACCGCTCTCTGCAATTGTCGTGGCTCAAATTTCTTTCAGGGCTCATTTCGAACGGCCAAGCCACCTCATGGGCGTGGTACTCCGTACATGTCCAGATGTTGGATGGATCCATTTCAACGTCACGCCTTCCGGTTGCCCACCACACAAGCACGGGGACACCTGACGGAGCCAATCGTGAGACCCAATGGAAGCAGCTACTTTTTCGACAAAAGAATCGGATGGGCTCGACCAGGAGCACACATTTACAATACATCGGCATCACCACCACGCAGGAACAGCCCACGCTGGCTTCCCGTCGTGGGAGGCAGCCTCACAGCCCAAATGATGGCACACGACAAAATACTCAACACTCCTGCCAGCCCAAATGGCAACGATATCCAACCATTACCAGACCTAACATCCACCGCCAGCAGCTCTGCCAGCAGCGGGTTCCCAACCAAAGCACCCACCGCCTGGAAGACATTGATGACAGCATAGAGCCCGGATGTCCTCTCTGGGCTCACCATGGCCGTCGCAATACTCCTCACCAAACTGCTGCAACAAGCCCAGCTTGTGGCAACGAGGACCATGCCGACTGCAATTGCAATTACAGATTGGCCCATGGCCAGCAGCGCAAAGCCGAATGGACAGATGGACATTGTTATCCGTGCAAGCCAAAGGTCGCGAGAGTGGCTGTCCAACCTCCATTTCGTTTCGAGCCTCCTTCCAATGTATGGCACCACGAGGAGAATGACAATTATTGTCATGGCTGCTCGAATGGTGACTAGTGAGCCGACGCTGGAGATTGGTATGGACAGCTTCTTGGACGTATATTGAACCAAGAGATTGATTGTTGAGGCGTTGAAGCTGTCCACGAAGAGAATTGCCAGTGAGGCGAGCAAGGTTGGCGAAAGCAGCCACAGGCTCAGACCGCTGGTCTTCGGCGAGAAGAGCCCGATGATTCTCGCCTTCCAGTTCTGTTTCGTGACGTGCGATGAAGCTATTGCGGCCTCATCGAATGACAGCTCCTCTGCAGTTTTGGAGGTGCCGAGATGAACCGTCTCTGGGACAAATGAACACATGAAACACACGCTAAGTCCGAGTCCGTATCCAAATGCAATCGGCAATGTTGTTCCATAGTTGGCCATGAGAACAGACGCAAGGGGTGTAGAGATGGCTTGCGATATGAGCACGGCCACGGTCAGTTGCAAGAATGTGTTTGCCCTACTCGATCAGCGTCCTGCACCACCATTTAATCGGAGCAAGATTACTCACCTCTTTGCTGGACTGACAATATCGGCGAGCATGGTGTAAATCGTTGAACTCAGAACTGCCGGCCCGCCACCAATGCCCGTGAGTAGCCAACATAACCACACAAACCTCAACGGGACCAACCACCAAAACCAGCAAACCATCAGCACGCCAGCAATCGCCAATGCTAAACCCAGCAAACAGAGTAGCAAAACAGGCCGACGTCCCCATCGATCTGCCAGTATTCCGTACGGTATCGCAAGAAGTAGACCTAAATAGGGGTCAACAAACGACCACCAGAACGCACACACATGAGGGCTTTCTTTACCTGGTACCATCATGAATAAAAACTCAATCCCCTTGACACGCGCCAACTCTTCCTGCACAGACGCAATCTTGCATTCCTGCTCCGGGATGGACCCCGGATTCGAAAACCGCCGAGGCTCGTGGGTAGAAAAGTATTGGTAGCAGGCTATGCTTTCGTAGACCCGCGTCAGGGGAAGATTGAGCACAAAGACGGTAGAGTCGAGGCCCGCAAGGATGAAGAAGAGAAGGTAGATGTGGTGCTTGGTGCCGGTGAAGCGCAATTTCTGTCTGGCGCTTTGCGAGGGAAGAAAAGGATGTAGTTCTTCAGAGAAGTCATCTGCATCCAAGCACCTTGTGTCTTGGCCGCGTATTGGGTCCTCGGTTGACATGGCGCCGTTGCGGTTGATTGTAGATGCGCCTGAGCTTCACGATATTAGGAATACACAATCTCGACACAAGAGGACAAACGTTGAAGCAAAGGCACTAGAACTCTCTAGTCAAAGACAACCAACTCACTGTAGGCTTTGGATACAAATGACAATTCAGCCAGCCATGGTGAGCCCGCGTTGATGCGGAGAGCTTCCTTGACAGCGAAGACTGGTGGGGCAAACCCGAACTGGTGGTACAGGCCATGATGGTAAGCTGACACGCAATAGACTCGTAAGCTGACTGCATCAGTTTCCCATTGATGTTGCCTGCTGCATGTGGTGGCTTTGCAGAGCGCGTGTTTGCTTCAGGGCGTGGTGAATGTAGTGGATGTGGGACGACAATATTTGGTGAACTCCAACATCACGTTGTAGCATGACCAAGGGGACGAGATGAGCACCCACTCGCGGCATCATCATCATTCGCAAGATGCCGCAGCATGGTAGTCTCCCTAAATTGGTTTCTACGGTTTACGTGCGTGTCTCCCCCCCCAATGCCTTGGTAAACACAAGGACAATAGTCTCATGCCTGCTGTTTATGCCTAACCGCCCGTAGCGCATAGTCTAGTCGCTTGTCCTGAAATGCCTGCTCCATGGTATGCTGCTGCGGCATGGGCAATTGGCATGATGTGCTCTGTACGGCTGTTTTGTATTGTGGCATCATTGAAAATGGTCCATCCGTCGACACATGCACCAGCTACAAATAATAATTTCCCGTAACTGTAGGTACCTAGGTAGTTGTAACTTATATATGTGGCAAATTGGGGATAAACTGCTCCGCTAGTCGATTTATGTCGCGGGAGTCAAGAGTCAAAGGCTCCTGGCAAGAGAGCCCTGTTTCTGTATGTGGATCAGGCCCAAGATCTCCTTGCAGAAATGCTGGACTATTCCCCAGCAAAAACTGTGCCGATTCACGAGTTGCGATGCAGTGTACGGAGTACTGCGCATGCCGCAAGGGTGAGCACATCACTGGAGCTATTAGAGCCGGAAGGAAACTCCTTATTTCGTCGGACGCAGCCAGCCTTCCATTACCTCAAAGTTAAGTAGAGACATTATACATCATCAATCGTTAGTTCCGGATCCGGGAATTTTAATGGCATTGGGATGGAATGCGGTGTGTCCATCGGAAGGAAAGCGAGACAAGTCGATTGTCGGGCGGGGCGGGCATCGCCGTGTTCATCGGGTACAAGTAGGAGCTGCTGCAAGATTAAAATATTCGGTTGTCAATTCTGTACTCGGCCAAGCTTCTTTGACGATCACGTTGGACAGAACCGTGGCCTCGGAAGTTGGATAAGAAATCAAATGTCAAGTAGCATGTAGTAAATCTCCGTAGTAGGCAAGATATTGCATGTACACCGGCTGTGGAGCTAGAGGCGGACCTGCATTACATAATCAACGTGAATCTACACTTGATTTTCTTTGCCTGCGAAATTTTCACCAAGCTTTTCCTCTTCCCACTCTCTTGCTCCTAGGGATCGCACCACGTACGTAGGGTCTCACACAAACAACCCTTGTGCTGGATGGACGTGCTCAAAGGTTTCCTTGAGCGGCTTCTTTGCTCTCGTCTGCAGTGCCTAAACGATGAGCCGCCAGAAAGAACCCGGCGCTGTTTACCAGCCACAGAATGACGACTATCTCGGAGCACTGGCCCTATTTTCTGGTCAGTTGTTGAGTTTTAGAGTAGTCATGTCAGATCAGGTAGGTCTTTCAGCCATTGACGACACATATCTTGCTACGGGTTTCCATTTTCCTCGTCCCTTTCTTCTTTGTTTGCAACGGCATATGTGTGTACAGCGGTGGGCTATCTTTGTGCTCCAACTGCTGAAGGATGAATTCAACGTGCCAAGACAAAACATCCCCTTCATTACCAAACACCGCTGCTCTTGATTCTCTACGGACTCTGGTGCATGAAGATGGGGATACATTTCAATTCTGGTGCAGTGATTTCTGTGTCTGTCTGCCAATGTTGTGAACGACGAAAGCTCCACAGTATACAATACTCGATGCCACGTAAACGGCGTTGCCCGTCTTAGAACCCGGGATGATGGGCATAGCATCAGCCGTGATGCATTGCGAGCAATTAATCGTTCAGATTCAGATGCAGTCGCGCCGTGAGCGCATCGGACTCGCCGTGTTCTCAACCCAATCGGAACAGGTCGAATCTATGCTCCATGCATTATCGAGGCAATGGCACCCAATGCACCAGGAACCCAGAATAGTTAAGCCCTGTAGGCTGTGACAAAGACGGGCAATTCGCCATCCGCATCGGGTTGCGTTGTTGACGAGCTAATGCAACAAATGCCATGCAGAGCTGAACGGCACAGGCGGCGGCGGCTGTGCGACGTGCTGCCTCACAATTCGGCCATCCAGAACATGCGCGGATGGTGTCTGTCCTGCTGGTGGCTGGGCGACAAAGACGTCTGGTGCTCTAGTGCAATGCAGCTCCCATTGAAGCACACATGTACGATGGAGGGCTGGTGTTGCCGCAGACATGGAGTGGTGCGCCCGCCCGCCCATGGCGATGGAAGCAAGGGCCGGGCTCATGACATACATACCAGCAACACAAAGTAGTTAACCGCCAAGGCGGCAAAGACCGCTGTAATGCGTGGAAACGAGGCTCTGGGCGGCCGAGCCGACACGAAAGCGCCGTTATGGCCACGTTGGAAAATGCGCATCAAGATTTGAGGTTTGAAAAAGACCACTAACGGAGTACGATAGCCTGACAAACTCTCGGGTCCTCGTTTCAGCCTCTGGGCCTATGAGGTCAGGTGCTCCACCAGTGGATGTTCCTCCACCACGATGGAACTGGCTGAATCAACTCAAACTCGTGCCGAGAGACGGCGCGCCCATTCACCCAGGTGCAGTGTGGGTATAAGAAGCGTATTTGACGAGACTCGACAAGGTGCCACCAATAATGTCTCTATCGCCAAGTCTACGCTAACATGCAACTGGTAGACGGTTTGCTCGCATACGATTCCGAAACCCCCCCTCTTTCCCCAAAACAAATGACACCATGGTGAAGGCCGGCCGCGTCTAGTCAGGGCCAAACTACTAATCAATTGTCCGCCGTTCGACCGACATACGTGGGCGCTTCCCCAAGACTCCAAGAGTCATTTGTCGGGGGCATGGATTGAGATTGACCCGCAGGCCTGCGAAGCGGGAGATGGAAGGGGTAGAGAGAGATGCGCTAGCGGATTGTCGTCTTCCGAGGCCAAGAAGACTGATGAGTTTGCAACAGACAATAGTCTACGTCTCGACACCACCAGTTCATTCTGGATATGCAAGCATAGTTTCCACGAAAGCGGTCAAGCAAGATAAGGCGAGCTCGACAACCAATGTACTGGATGACGGGGCGCCGGCCATGCTGGAATATTCAGCCACGAACGGCAGTACGCGCGCGCAAGGCTGTGTGTGTCTCATCGCTGTAGAACAGGCTGCCGTTTATTGGGATATTATGGGGAAGCACGGCGAGCACGGCGAGCATGGCGACACGGCGACACGGCGACACGGGACATTTTGCTTTCTTCCTGTCCACTCGGGATCTGCCCTTCCTGGGGCTGAAATACAGAAACACAAATACATAGGATAGAGCAGATATGGACGAGCTGAAGGGTCAGGACACGGCCGCTTTCATGGTATGGAACGTCTCGGCATAGCTCATCAGTCAAGGTGTGACAGCTATCGCTGTGCCATGGAGCCCAATGGATGATGGACCTGACCAGTGTATGCAGTACTAGTATGTAAATATGTAGTGTCTTCGATACGCCGCACGGAGAGGAGTTTCGGAGCGGACTTGTTTTCTTTTTTGTGCGCCGGCTGTGAGCGCAAGTACGGAGCAAGACCCAACCAACGAGACGGCCCTTGGATGATGCTGAGCCGCAGATTTTTCATGACAGATGACGATTCCCACGATTGTGAGAGAGGGAGAGAGAGACATGCGAAGGAACATGTCGTGCATAGCACCCTGCGTAGTGCTCGAGTGTTTCTCCGTGGACGCAAAGGGCAGGCTCTCAAGCCAAGGATGCATAACATGACGTTGTGGGATGCGCCAACGACAAAGGAAGCAATGATCAGAAATGCAAGATGAGCAAACATGTGCAATAATCCAGAGTGCTGTACATATAGGAACTACCAGAGAGTACTAATATGGTAAATCATAAATGCCATGCCATCGTGGTGTCAGCAAGCGGACAATCTGGATGAGGCGAACATTGAATCCTCAAACCAGAAATCATCATCTTGGTCGGCTCCACCGTTGACGGCTCTGGAAGCCACAAGCTCCGTCTTCAAGCCCGCCAGTCCCGCGCCAGAGCGCTGGGGCAAGCCTCTCCCAGGAACAGGGGCCGCTTGATTGCGTCCGGACAGGGGCAGAACCTTAAGATTGCTGGGAGGGTGGACGGATTAGGAAGAGCTGCAGTAGCGCCGAAGCCGCCGGCGGACATCTGGATGGTGAGGTGTCGATGAGGTGTGAGGTGTGAGGTGTGGGTGTCGCCTGCCGATTTGGCAATGCCATTGACCACCAGAGGTCAATAGAGTGGAAAGAACTGCAAATGCAATTGGAAGTGCAGATGATGCACATGCGGGCCCGCGAGAGGACCGCGACACGCCCGCCAAGGAGACAAGTGACGCAAAACATGCTGTGCGCGGCTGGTTGCGAGCAAGGCTGGGGCCGATTCAGTCATGGCACCACCAGCCGGTTCAATGTTGTAAAGATTATCATGCGTGTTCCGACCAAACGGGGCACGCCCCCCTCTTCGAAAGAAGAAAAGAAAAAAACCAAGACACCATAACAATGCTAACTACCTAGGTACCTGGGCAACTACTAATACGGAGCACCTAAATTCACACTAATACGTTCGAGTACGATTAAGATTAAGATGAGAGGGGTCAAGAGCAAAAGCAAAAGCACAAGCACAAGCAAAAAGAATCTGGGCTAGACTAGACGGGCTAGAGCTAGAGCTGGT